CTCTGAGTCAGAACCTAGTCTCCGGCATCTAACAAGGGGCAGGTGTAAGGTGTGATCTGGAGATGGATGTATATGATACACCGAGTGTTAACAGTGGTGAAAAAGTGGGAAACAGACTGTGATTAGGGTGGTACAACATGGAAAACCTAATTGATGCCTCTGAATCCTACATATAAAAATGGCTTAAGTAGCAAATGCATTTTTTCCTACAATGAAAAAAAGGAAAAGTGAGATGTTTGAATATGTCATAGATACCAAGCCAAAGGTGGGTGATTTTAATCTGCGGCCCTCAGGCCTGGTTTTAATTGTTTTGGTCAAACATTCTTCTAAGTGGTATAGCCCTGGCCTTTCCATTTGCTGTGCAGAGATAATTTGAGGTTGCTGTGATGTGACACTGTGACAGTGATGTGTCATATGTGATAATGGTTACCCATGGTGGACAGTGTTTGATGGAGTTCTCTCCAATTAAAACAAGCTTGGAAGCAGGAGTGCCATCCACTTCCAAAATAGCTTGCCTCTGGAAAGTCTATGAATGTGGAGAAACGATGAAAGTCATCAAAGTGTTCAGGTCTTTTGTTCATAGGGTCGCTGAGTCACCTATGACTCGATGGCACTTAACAACAACAATAACAACAACTTGCCATTTGCAGAACCTTACAAAAAGTAATGATTTTTTTGTAAGGAGGAAGAACTTTGTTCACAAAACCACCCAGAAAGTACTCAGGAGAAGGCAGCAAAGAGGGAGGATTACCATGAGTTTGTAACCCTGTTCTCACCCAGCAGCGACCTTCCAAGCCAAGTTTCAACTTCCTGAATGCTACTGTATTGTCTCTGATCCAAATGCATCATCAGTGCATGCTATTCCCATTGGATGGTTTTGCTTGCATATTCTGCAGGAAGGGGGGGGGAGGAAGGAGGGTTTTTTCTACAGCTCCCAACTGGGGCAAAAACAAAGTTCATAGGTCACATTTTTTATGATTGCCCTGCATTTAATTGCAGTCCACTTTAATCTCCTAAGTCATTCTTTTCATTTCCCCCAGATATTGAGGGAATACTGCCATGGAGATAAATTGTCAGGATAAAGGACACAGAATTACGTCCTGCTCTATACTTATTGCGTTGCTTTGCTACTATAACTTAAAACTAGAAACAAGGTTAATACAATCACCCTCCTGCCCGTCCCCAACCTTGCCACTAATACCCTTCAACATCCACATGGTTTTTTTTCTGAAAGTTTTAAGAAGAGTGCCTTAGTGTGTGTGTGTGTATATACATGTTGTTGTTGTTAAGTGTCATCGAGTCGCAGGATATATATACATATATACATATATACATACATACATAAATATATGTTGTTGTTGTTAAGTGCCGTAGAGTCGCAGACAACTCATAGCGACCCTATGAAGGAGAGTCCTCAATGCTTGGGTGTCTCTCTCTTCTCTTCAGGTTCATAGGGTTTCCGGAAGCAAACTATTATGGAAGTGAATGCCACTCCTCCTTCCAAACTTGTTTTAATGGGGAGCTCCACCCCACTATGTCCGCATTGGGTAACCAGCCATTAACACATTTGACACATCAGTGTCACAGTGTTCAGCCTCACAGCAACCACAAGTTACCGCTGTACAGCAACTTGTACACCAGGGATATACGGCTTAAAGGAATGTCTGAACAAAAACAATGAAAAACAGGCCTGAGGGCCGCAGATTAAAAGTCACCCACCTTCGGCTTGGTAGCATTGCCTTCTGTCCACTGGGCCAGCTGATCTCTCTCTCTATGTTGATGTTATTGTTGAGTCCTCACACAAAAATAATATGAAATATATGTCTACATAGGAATATGCCATGGACTGCTAGAACAAACAGGTTCGTCCTAGAGAAGGTGAGACCAGGCTGCTCCTTGGAGGCAAGGATCCTGAGGCTTCGTCTGACATGCTTTGGACATGTTGCAAGGAGGGACTAGCCCTTGGAGAGGGACATCATGCTTGGAAGGGTGGAGGGACAGTGCAGGAGAGGAAGACACTCAACAAGATGGACTGACTCAGTGAGTCGGGTAATGGGTATAGGTGTAGGTTTGTCAGAGACAATATATTTGGTTCAGGATAGAGCAGGGTCCAAAGCTGTTGTACGTAGGGTCACTATGGGTTGCAAGCAACTCTATAGCACATAACAATATCATATAGGTGTATGTCTCTTTGAGGGCGAAGACGTGTTTGACACAAGCCATGTTACCATCAATCACCCCATATCAATGGAAACGCTGGACAGTGAATATGGAACACCAGAGGAGAACTGATGCTATTAAATAATGGTGTTGGTTTCAAATGCTGAGTATGCCATAGGCTTCCAGAAGAATTAATATACCTTCAAAGAAGTCCAGCCAGAACGCTCCTTCGAAGTCAGAATGGTGAGACTTCATCTTATGTACTTTGGATAGGTTATCAAGCAGTACCAAGCCCTTGAGAAGAATTCCATGTTTAGTAAAACTCAGCACATGAACTGACCCAGTGATTACGACAGTGGGTTCAAACACGGCAAGGATTCTGAGGAGAGAAGAGAACTGAGCAGGGTTTTTGCTATTGAACATAAAGTCAGTATGACGTGAAGCTATCTTACAGATCTCCCCTTTCCCAAACTTTTTTTTTTAACCTCCTTTTAACTTTAACCCTTTTTTTGGTTCTGCTTTATTAATATGATCATCACGTATTTCCTGCCCATGAGTTGTTAAACTTGTAAGTCTGTTTAGTAAACTGTAACATACTCTTTAATTACCTGGGTCATTTAATACCTTCCTTTTTCCTCAAGTGTAGAAATTGAAGTGACAGTTAACCTTTTTGGACTTCAAAGTCATTTGGGTTTTTTTTTTTTAATAAACAGCAATGTAAAAAAGAAAAACCAAACAAGCTTGAAAATGACAATTTTATAAATACATGACTGTATTTTGTTTTGCATGTCCAGAAACTCTGATCAGATGAAATTCAAGTCTATTCCTCCAAAGCTCACACAGTTCAAAGGTCTAACATCGAGTTTTTTCAATGGTACCAACATGGGCAAGGTGAAGAAGGCACAGACTCACTTCGTGTGAATGAAGGACATCAAACAGTCACAAGATGCGGATGACACAGAAGCACACATGGGCGATCATGAAAAGCAAAAATGTTCCACTTCTTCAGTAACTTTCCTCCCTTTAACATTTGGCAATATTCAGTCTACATATTTTAATACCTCAGAAAGAAAAATAAATAAGATGCTACCTTAAAATGTCAAATTACGCAGAATTAAGGTTGCATAGAGAAGTATACTCGGGGTGGGGAGTTGGGGGGAAGGGATGGGGGAATTGTATACTAATGAAGGAATTTTTTTTTCTTTTTCTCTTCAGAGAGGGGAGCGAACTGGTGGGGAGGGGTGGGCAGGGAGAAAGGCGCGGCAATGAATGAATGGAAATCTAAAACCTCTGTAAATGTCTATTAAAATTAATAAAATTTTAAAAAATGCCAGATTATAATTGTTGTTGCTCATTGCTACTGAGTCAAAACCAACCAATAGCTGACCCCCCAGTGGGCTTTCAGAAGCTATAAACCACACAGGTGGAGTCTGCCCTTCTTTCTTCCGAGGACAAATGGTGGATTCGAACCGCATACCTTGGAGGTAGCAGTGTAACTCCTTACCCACTAGGTCACCAGGCTTCCCTCATCTAGAATATATTGTTGTTTTATTGTATACCACCAAGTATTAGTTTTCAGAAATAGAAGGGATAAAATGAAGGGGGAGAAAGAGAACCTTCCTACACTCTAGGATTATCTTTCTTTTCTGAGGGTCTCCAATGTCTGTTTCTGTAGAAATTCCAGCTATATCTGAAGATTGAAGAGATTTGGGGTGGCTGCTGACATGGTCCCTCAAAAACTACTAAAAATGAATATTAAAATCACAGAGCTACCTTGATTTCTGCTTTTTCAGTGAAAATCTGGACTCCAAATTTGGCTACAGGGAGATCTAAAGGAAAAGACACTTTAGCTCCACAATTTAAAAAAAAAAAATTCTATTTAGACAAAAGGTAAATAAATATACTTTAAAGGCAAAAAGTTCCTCTTCCCTATTACACATACTAGGAAAACAAAGTTATTGTTTCTCTACTGTGATGAGCACATCACTCATAAAACATACCAGGAACTGGTAATCTCAATTTTAGGAGACCTTGTCCACAATGTAATAAAAATAGGTGACTTTAAGTGAGGTCTGAGCAGGGAGAAGAGGTCCGCATGAGAAACATCCCAATTACAAGCATATAATGAAGAACCACAAAACAGCAGAATCTGTTTACATCATAACCAGTGTCTCTAGCTACTTCCTTCTCCTGGATTAACCGCAGCCACTGTAAGATTAAAGAGAGCTGTCAACAGAGAATACCACTCTATAAATAAGCTCAAGTCTACAACTGCAGAGACAACATGGACATGCATCAGCCCATCCAAAGGACTTCAATATATTTTACATTCCCCCCCACCCCGGAAAATACATTTTGATCGTTATTTTTCAGTTCCTTCAACTAAAGATAACTCTGATCATTTTTATCTTTTTTTTTTTACATCAATCTACCAAAAGTTTTTTAAAACCGTTTGAAAAGATTAAGAACAAGGGCTCTGAAATAGTAAGTATTCACAATTAGGTGTTACTATTTTTCAGTGACCTACAGTAAAACGTTTTTGCATGCTTGACAAGTTAATGGAAAAGGAAAAACAAAAATATAGGACGATCTCAATGATTTGGTGGGGTGTTACTTTTTTTCTTTTTGTTTTAAAAATCACCTCTAATGTTCATCTCTGACAACACAGTTTGTATATATGTAAAGTTCATTTCCATGCTTATTACATAAAAATACCTATCGGAAATACCAATCTATCAGTGTCAGCTGATGTATATCCAATCCATTCACTGCAGAAGAGAAAGGGAATAAATACCCTAATATAATCATTAAAGCTCACAGTTCAAATTTTTTTTTCCATTTTTGAAATCTTTTGGTAGTTTAATCTGTGTTCTATTGCATGCTGATTTCCCAGATTAATGGCCTCCCAGAAGATTGGAAAGGAACCCGGAAGCCTTCTTATTCGGCTGTACTTCTGCCTCCTGGGTTTGCGTAAGGCCCAGCTCCCGCTCTATCTGATCGAGCTCTGCCTGGTCCAGCAGTTCAAAGTCATCCCCTTCTTCAGTGTCTGTGTCCTCTGCCAGGCTCGGGCCAGCCTGGGAAGGCGCGTGCTGTGCGCCCTCGAGCTGGTCTTTAATAGCTGCTGTCACTGCGGCTGTGATGACGTCCCCAGCGAGACCGCTCATCAAGTGGATGGCTTGGTCACCGTGCAGAGGGAGAGTGAGCCCAGCCACTGACTGCCTCTCTCTGCTCGGTCTGTGGCCCGCCTCCACCTGTTCCTTTTTTCTCTTGAGCTCCACAGGCAAACCAAGGCTCAACTCATCTTCATCATTTGTTCCCATGCCATTCTCCAGAGATGGAAATTCAGAAAGCTCTCGAGCGAAAATCTCCTGTTCGCTAGGTCGGTCAAGATCTGCGAAAGGGGTTAAAGAGAAGTCCCTGTGTCAGCACCATAACAAAGATAAAAGCAAAGGACAGCGTCTATCCCTGTGTCAGCACCATAACAAAGATAAAAGCAAAGGACAGCGTCTACAGAAATGTGACTTTAATCTGAACCCTCCTGTCAGCCTCACAGTCAGCTAGCTTTCCAGGTCAACTGGCATCAGCTTAACCACCTAAGTGATACCCCAAATGTGGTTAAGTACACAGATACAGCTATTCCTCACTTACCGATAACCTCACTAATTAACATTTCAGATTAACAACCATACTAAAAAAAAAAGTCATGCTGCTCTGCTCTTATGCCCAGTAATGACACAAGTCCACAGTAAAGAACTTGTGGTCTGAGGGGAGAGGAATGCCAGCTGAGATGGTTAATGGCAACACGGCTGAGTCATATTGTCAAGAGTGTAGCGATTATGTAATGAATGTGGTAGTTACAGAATGATAGATGGAGTCAACCTCTCTCGTGCGATGACATTCCAGCCTCAATTTTCCCATAATGCTGATTTTCTCTTAACGCCATGGTCTGTGGAACCTAATCCTGTTGTTTAGTGAGGTGGTGGTTGTTGTTATGTGCCATCGAATTGAGTGGGCGTAAAACACACAGCCCTACAAGTTTCTTTTACGCTTTTCTGTTATGAACAAAACTGCCTATGCAATGACTCAACAATCGGTCTTGTCGAACATTATTAGTTTGGAACTCTGACTAACATTTAAATAATGTTGTTGTTGTTGTTGATGATGATGACTGTCTTTGAGTCAAGCACAACTCATTACTGACCCTCTGAACAAAAGGCCTGAAGCCCCTCTACAACTATCAACGTTTATCAAAAAGTTCATAAAGTTCCCAGAGGCCAGTTATTTAGGAAGTGGATGCCACTCCTGCTTCCAAAATGTTTAAATGTTCATCATAAATAAGAGTTCCTTCTTCCCCTTGAGATGGGAGTGGTTTAGCTTATGCCAATGTGGAAATGTTTGATCATGAAATGAAAAAAGAAAATAGGATGCTTTCATGGATTCTAGTACAACTAATAGTGAGCATTATCCAGCCACAGCAATTTTTTACTTTTTTGGTCTATCCAAAGGAAGATCATTGTGTAGGGGCCAGATGTAAGCAGGTAAACCCTTAAAAAAATGATATTTTAACAAAAGTTTACCAAGAACTTAGATTTCCATTCATTCATTGTTGCACATTCTCCTCTCTACTCCCCCACCCCAGTACACTTCTCTATTTTAAAAAAATTCTTTCACTGTTGCACAATTTTCTCCCTACCCCCCACTCTAGTCCACTTTTCTATGCAGCTCTTGTTTTGGACTGCTGTCATGCATATAGTACCTAATCATATATTCCTTTTAAACAGTTCTTTCCCTTGTCTGTATCAAGGCAGTGTACATTATTTATCCCCTCTCTTCTTAGTTTTTCCTCAACTTCCATGTCAGTCTGTTTTATAAGTGGCATTATGCAGTTTTTGTCCTTATGTGACTGAGATATTTCACTCAGCATAATATCTTCCTGGATCACCCATTTTGTTTAATATTTTATGAGTTCCTTTTTTTTCAGTGTTTATAGTATAGTATAGTATAGTATAGTATAGTATAGTATAGTATAGTATTCCATTCTGTGAATATGCCCCAAATTCTCTATCTATTCATTTGTTGATGGGCACTTGGGTTGTTTCCATCTTTTTGCTTTTGTCAGCCCTGACAATTTTATGCATGGACATGAATTTGGATAGCTCTGTTGGTCTAGTGGTAAGTTGTGCTGGACACCCAAAAGTACACAGTTTAAATCCACTAGCTTTTGAAAACCCACTAGAAGGTTAGCTATGGGTTGGTTCTGACTCAACGGTATACAACAACAACAAACCTGTGTTAGAGGAAAATCTGCAGGACTAACAAAGGACAACAACAGTGGGTTTAAGTGGAGCAGAGATCATAAGAACGGCACAGCGCTGGGCAGGGTTTCATTGTGGGTCACTACAAGTTGGAACTTCATTCAGTGATACCCCGCAACACCTCAACCTGTAATTGTTTAAAGCAAAGAAGCTACTGCTCTTTCTACTCCGCATCCAATCCAAGATCTTATGCAAACATTTGGTTTGAGTGAATACAGCTGAAATGGACCCAGCTCTGGTACTTGGCCACTGAGTGGTCTCTGACTTAGGATGACTCCATGTTGAACTTGAGGACAGCTGTACTCAGTGAATCATTCCATACGAGCAAGCCCCATCACACCAGTCACTCCCTACGTCCTGGGAGCCATGATCTACTTTCCTCGTCTAAAGATGTGCCAGGTCAGGGCACTGCATATAAATAGAGTTATGGAACAGGTAGTCTTTTGTGTCTGGCTTCTTCCACTTAGTGTAAGGTCTTTCCAGGTTCACCCATGTTGTTGTATATCTCAGTATTTCATTCCACCTTATAGCCAAAACTCTAAAATGTATGGTTGCACCACAGGGGTGGACCATATTCGATACCCTCAAGATAGAATGAAATATTTTTTCATGTACTTGTAATAATAACAGGAGCTCTGACGGCTGAGCAGGAAGGAGTTATGCTGTCAACCTAAAGGCAGCTGGTTTGAATTCCCCAGCTGGTTTGGCGTCAGAAAGATAAGTCATCTCCTCCCATGTGATTTAGTGCCTATGCAAGCACGCTGGTGGGTCAGCTCTGAGAAGGTTCCAACTAGAAGGTACATAACATCAACAACGTAATAATAAATGGAAGAAACGAGGAATGCTCAAAATCACTGCTTTGGAGTTGGAACAGATTTACAGCTGACCCTCTAGCAGGTTTCTGGAAGTTGTAAACCACACAGGAGGAGATGGAGTATATTTCTCCTGTGGAGGGTTGGTGGATTCAGATCAGGTTAGCAGTGCACTTCCCTACAGGTTATGGCACCAGAGTTCCACTTAACTTAAAAAAAGGAAAAAAGAAGAGTCTCCAAAATTCCTGAACATACCGTCAGACGTGTCTGTCTGTGGAGTGTATCCTTCGGAAAGGTTGAAGGTCCCATTGTCTGTCCAGGAAACCTCTGATACATCTGTGTCCGACACGGACAATTCTTTGGCAGCAACAGTGAGGCTTATCTATGTCAACACAAGTGAAACACCAGTGGCACATTTGACACCACAAACAAAGTCTTTGGGGAAAAACCCTTACAAAGAACAAAAAAGAATAAAATAACAAAGGGCCCAACAGTATAAGCCAGATATTTTTTTCCCCTTTTGATATTATTCAATCACTTACTAGAAGTCGGAGACACCTACTAGGAAAAGTCATCCGGCTTTAATATGTGTAAGTAGATGTACAAAGAAATGACACGGGAAGAAATAGAAAATTAAAGGACCAATACCTTAGGACAAAGAGCTGAAAAGTCTAATTCACTGTCATCCTTGTGACTTTTTCCTTTATCTGCTTCTGTTGAGGGGAAAAAAGAGAACTATTTACTTCTAGGCTCCTTGTCAGTTTAGACACACTGGGTTTTGTGGTTTGTTTTTTTTAAATAATAATTAATAATACATTCTTACTTCACGTGCCTCATATACTCAACGCCTCAACATAACTAAATGCTTTCACTAGCAAAACTCTACTGATGCCTTTGATTTGGAAGCCTTTGATTTGGAAGTGACTCACAGTCGACCCTCCAGCAGGTTTTTAGAGGCTATAAACTGTGTGAGAAAAGATTGCCCGTCTTTCCTCCATGAAGCAGCTGGTGGATTTAAGTCACCTGCCTTGGATTGGTAATGCAACTCCTGAACCAGTAGGCCACCAGAGTTCTCTATCAAGCTTCACATATTTTCCAAATGCTTGTTTTCTCTTAGGTCAAAGTTTTCCATGTGTGATTGCTGGCCTAGTCCCATCAGCATCCCTGGGAATGTGTTTAAATATGCAAATTGTCAGCACCTATTCTAGACCCACTGAATCAAAAATGTGAAGCAAGGGTAGCAATTTGTGCATCAAATCCCATCTAAGGGATTCCACTGTTCTGTAAGGTCATAGGCCTGACTGATCAGTCAAAAATGACCACAGAGGTTTCTCTCATTTTCTTTGCTTTTCCAATTCTGGCTTGTGTCATATCCACACCCCTTCCTAACTGTGTCAGGTTGATTTTTTTAAATTATTTGCAGTAGTCGCCCAAATCAAACAGTTTAAGTAAAGTCTATCCATAGCAAATACAGTGTTTTTGAATGCTTTTCGCCCTCTCCTGACAATTTGGGTAAAAAGTTAATGTGTTTAAGTGTACATTTGAGATGCGAATAAATAGTCCAAGATGACTAGACTTGGGTGGGAGTGGGGATATATCTTCTGTAACAATACTTTTTTATGAGGGTAACTGTTGTTGATAGCCTTCGAATTGAGTACAATTTATAGCGGACCTATGAACAGAAGGCCTGAAGCTTTTCTATAATTATTGATCTTTGTCAAAGTTCACAGAGTTTCTGGAGGCATGTTGTTTAGGAAGTGGATGCCGTTCCTGCTTCCCAACCTGTTGTTTTTTGTGCATCAAGCTTAACACCAGAAAATCCTTGGTAAAAGACCAAAGACGGATATGTTTCAGGCTGAAATCTGAGTCCATGAGGCTAACAGCACCTTGAAATATAGCAAAGGTGGTTTATTTCCAAAATTACATTCTTGAATGGAAGCTACTGTCTGAACTTTACCTACCAGATCTTTCATGTATCTTCTGATTAATATATTCTCCGATTCCAAAATCTAGTTTCAGCAGAACTGACTTGATTTTGCTGTAGAGTCTCTGTCCGATATCATTGCACTTGAGCAGTGGGCACAAGAACGCAAACAGCACTGAGAGAGATGAAGGGAGATCCACTTAGGTGAGGGAACCTTTCTTTCTAAAGACTACATCTTAGAATTACACACACACACACTCTCTCTCTCTCTCTCCCCCATCCCCCTCCCCCTCCCCGTCCTTCCCTCCCTCCCTCCTTTCTCTCTCTTTCTCCCCACCCCCAACAGACAAACTGGATTTTACTTCTTAGGGTATGCCTCCATGAAATAAATTCATAACTTATATTCTACTCCCTGGGATCAAAATAAACTCTACGATATACAGTTGAACACACTATACTTACAGTCCTTATGTTGCTAGACTAGCAATTGTTTTTGCTGTTGATAGGTGCTGCTGAGTCGAGTACAACTCATAGCAACCCAAGAACAAGAGATCTGAACCCTCTTCTATCCAGACTATTTAGAGCTATTAAAATCTCAAAGTGATCACCAATGTTCAAGGCAATAATTCTGGAATTCTATTTAATTATTAAATCGTCAATTACCATGAAAAGTTATTATCTATGGAGTTGTGGATACACATAGAAGCCAGATTTTCTTCTAGTGTCAACAAAGTAGAAAAACAACCCCTCAAATCAAACTATCTCCTTGAGATATTCTTCGAACCTTGAACTTTTAGAAAACAGATCTTCTGAAATTAATGGATTTTTTAAATTTAAAACATTGTATTGTCTCTTAGGTGAAAGTTTACATAACAAATCATATTCTCATTTAGCAGTTTCTACATAGCTAATTCCAGGATGTTGGTTACTTTTTTTTTTTTATGACATGTCAGCTTTCCTGCTATTTCCATTTTTTTTGCTTCTGTTCTGTTTCCATTAACCTAGCCACTCTGTTTGTCCTTAGCTTCTCATTTGTTACAGGATAAATATTGACTGCTTAGTCTCATATAATTAATTCTGACTCATAAAAACCTTTCACTAGGCGTCCAGGTTGTAAATCTTTAAGGAAGGAGACTGCCTATCTTTCTCCTGTGGAACAGCTGATGAATTTGAACCCTTGAACTTTGAGTTGGCAGCACAATAAATTACGCACTAAGCCACAGGGTCCTCTTCCCACAAACAGTGAAGGAGAGTAACAATTGCTCAGTGTTTTTTAAGGTAAGCCATTCTTGTGAGGGCGTCATGGTATTTCAGTGCAGGTTAATTTTTTTTTTTCTTAGCCAGGGACTATGCAAAAGAATAAGGCACTGATGTTGTGTGATGGGTGAGAAGCATACATTAATTATCATTTTATGGACAAAATTCAAAATAAAGAAAATTATTCTCATTTAAGTCTTCCCTTCATAGCTATTCTTCTGATTTCCAGTTATAAACAGGTGCACAGGAGAAGAGAATGAATTCTGGGAGCAAGACAGTCAGCAGTTCTCTATTTCTTTCTTTTT